ATCAGGGGCGTGTAGATGTCCGCCGTCTGCAGGCCGTACATCTGCAGATCGACTTGCAGCTGGTGCTGATTGCTGGGCGGGGCGGTGGGCGCTCGCACACGGGACCCTCGGGGAGCAATGCGCTGTCTTCGGGCGAAGTCGACGATCTTGGAGAAGTGGGCAGTCGAGATGCACGAAAGCGTCATACTCCTACAGGGAACAGAGAGAAGGGGAGGGTTTTGTGCCTTGCCGCGTGCGTGTGCTCTTCGCACCTGTCGAATGCCGTGCCCAGCGGTTTGTCCCGCCCGATGAAGGCCAAGGTGGCCTCGGTGGTCGACACCCTCTTGCCCATCACGCGCACGCTCTTGATCTCATCGGCCCCGCCGCCCCCCGACTTGAGGAACGGTCCCATCACAGCATGGAACTTGGTCAGCTCCAGCTCTGCCGACCACAGCCGATCCACCGCCGTCTCGAGGTTCTTGACATTTGTGTGCAGGTCGCTCAGGGGGTCATCGACAGCAGCGGCCTTCTTGGCCCCACCGGCAGCGTCCTTCTTCTCTCCGAGATCGTGAGCTGACGCATCCTTCTGCTGCTGCTGCTGCGATGAGATCTTGTTGTCGAAGAAGAGGTCATGGTAGAAGGGGTCGTCGGGTCCTGGCTCGAAGACGATCTCCTTCGTCTCGCCCTGGGCATCAGCAGCACCGACGTTGGCAATCTCGTCAAACAGCCTGACACAAGGAACACAACAGACAGCATTGCGCGTGAGCCCTCCCTCCCCTCTGTGTGTCTACTGGCTAACCAGTCGATATAGATCGGGTCAGCATCCAGGAACGGCCGGCCCTCTGTGTCCTTGGGGAGCCCATCCAGATGGTGCAGCAGCAGATAGGCGACGAACGAGTCGCTCACGCCGGGCAGCAGCAGCGGCTTGCGAGGCACACACAGCACCGTCCCGCCGCCCACATTGACCTCAATCTCCTCACTCAACGAGCCTGTCACTACCGGCTGTCCTCCATTGCTCGTGATCAGGTCCTTGATCGTCTTGGCTTGCTGCCGCAGCTTCTTGCGCATCTGTTTGGCTGACTGCTCAATGGCGGCGAGTGCCTTGTCGGCGTAGAGCAGGTCTCTGTCGACGCATGGCCGCCGATGAATGGCAGCGGCTCCAAATCGTGGCAGCCGCCATTTGCCATGGTAGGCGACTCTTCTTGTCTCTCCAATGCCATCCCAAGGGAAGACAGCAGCAAGGGAAGAAGGATGCGAGCTTTTTACAAGCTTTTCCATCTCGGGAAAAGCAAAAAGGCAACGAGGCTGACAGTGGGGTGCCGGAGACCCGAAGCATCACGGCTGTACCAAAGATCTGCCGAAAAAAGAACTAAAGGAGGTTACCATCAGCAAGCTGAATCTACCTCCACGCCTCTCTCACGCTCTTTCGTGACGAAATGGTGTCGCACGGCAGCCGAGACGGCACTCCCACCGCGATGATATCGCTGACCTTCAGAGACGCAGGCGGCTCCACCCTCTCTGTGCCGGCCTCACTCGCAGACGGCTTCCGCTGGTTCTCTGGCAGGGAGAGGCGCGACGCGCTGCAGGTCGACGGCATCGGCAGAGAGGAGGCGAAAGTCGTGCTGCGGGTGGGTGGTGGGTGGGGCAGGTCTGCACAGGTGTCGGCAGACGTCTCGGTGTGTCGTCTGTCTGTGTTTGTGTCGTCAGCGTGACGCGGGCGACGTCGTCAAGGCGATAACCGAGGACAACCTCATCGCGGCACTCACCGCGCTCGACTACTTTGGGTGCCGGTTCGTCGACCGCATCGTGGTAGGTGTGCTCACATACATGCACCGAAATGCAACGCGTCTATGTCTCTCTCTCTCTCTCTGTGTGTGTGTGTGTGTGTGTCGGTTTGGTGACTGTGCAGCCGCTGCTCGAGCGCAAAGGCATTCGGTCTTGTTGGTGGTCGGACCGGTCGCTGCTGCCGGCGCTGCTGACCGAGGTGTCCAAGAAGCAGCAGCAGCCCTACTCGCCCAGCAGCTCATCGGCCTCATCCACCGACCTGTAAGACATAGCACAACACAGCACAGCACAGGACTCACCATGGATGGATGGATGGATGTCTCTGTGGCTGTGTGGTGTGGTGTGTATGGATGTTTCTCGCCTCGCACACACAGGTCTGCCTTCCACCACGTCCTGATGATGCCCATGTTCAGGAGCGACCTCCCAGCGATGCTCATGCAGTTCCCCGCGATCGTTGCGGACACTCTGTTAGCAATCTCCCTCCCCCTTCCCACATCACACACACACACACACACGTGTCTGTGTCCGTCTGCATTGTCAGGGACGGCATTCAGTCGGGCAACATGGGCGACAAGGACCCCTTCGCCGAGTGCATCAAGGAGGCCCTGGAGCAACTGCTATGCCTCATCGACAGCCACAAGGTGAACGTGTCGGCCACCGAGCTTGCCGCGTGGCTGCAGGCGGCCACCCAGAGCGACAGCCTCCCTGACGCGCTGCGGAAGGTCTTTCAGGCCAAGACATTCTGTCTCGAGACCACCAACACGGTCGAACACGCCTTTCAGCCGGGACACACCGTCAAAATCGGCCAAGTGCAGGTGCAATTCAGGTACTGACAGCCACACACACAGACAGACACACAGGCAGACGGCCATGTGGGTGTGTGGCTTTGGTGTGGTGGTGCAGTGCATCGACGCGCGCTCACAGTGGGGGACATTTCTTCACGCTGGCGACGGGATGTGGGGTGCACCAGGACCCCAAGCTGCCCATCGCCGACATCGCCCGGTTCGAAGCCATCTATACTCGTAAGTGACCAACCCTCACCTCCACCACCATCACCATGCCCACCCCATCTCGCCCACTGTCTCTCCATTGCTTTCTCCTGCAGCCACTCTCCCCTGCGGCGGCCTACGGACGGGCTGCTTCAACGGCACGGCCACCTACCACGTCGACGGCACCATCCTCTGCTCCGCCACCATGCCAGCGGGCAGCTGCTGCGTCGCGCTGGGCGGGCGGAGGGAGGGGGTGCTGCAGGGGACCAGGGTGAAGGACGAGGATAGGCAGCGGGCGGTCGTGTCCGGTGGTGGTATTGCGACGGTTGACAGCGTGGAGGTCGAGGTGACGGTGTGCGAGTACCCTCTGCGGAGCATGGCGGTATGTGTGTATGTGGGTGGGCAACAGAAACAGACCTGCATGGGGTGGCAGAGGGGTGGAGGGAGGGATGCGTGTGGATGTGTATGTGTGTGTGTCTGGGCAGCTGCATTACTTCAAGTGTCTGCTGGTCGACGGCAGCTGGGACGCCTTCTCGGTCCTCACCGACGCCCTCCACACCTCTGCAGCCGACACAGCTACCAGGTAACACCCCTCTCGCCCACACAAACAAACGACCTGACGTGTCCCCATGTGCACACCCACCCACAGGAACACGTTCGAGTGTCTGGCGACCTTCCTGGCCTACGCGCTGGCCCAGGCGCCCTGCCCCGAGTTCGACGCCGCGCTGGACGGCGTGAGCCCGCTGCGGCTGCTGCACGGCTGGTGGCACAACCGGCGGGACAACCTCACCACATGGACTTCCACCAAGGTCGGTCTCGGTGGGGGTGGGGGCGAGATGGCGTCTGTGGTATGTGTTATGTGTGCGGGGGTGCAGGTGGCGCGTCTGTTGTTGGATCGCGTGAAGCCGGAGGTGCTGGCGGAGAATGAGTATTTGGGTGCGGTTCCCCGGCTGCTGCAGCTGCTGGACCCCAAGATCGACAATTCGCTCGCAACGGAGCTCGCGCAGACACTGTGGACGCCGCGAGTGGTGAGTGCGTGGTCCCCCCATTCAGACACACACACAGAGAGAGAGAGAGAGAGATGACACACCATCCCCCCTCTCTGTGCCTGTGTGTGCAGATCAACGACCCTTCCTTCGGGCCCCCTCTGCTCATGTCCCTCATCCACTCCAGATCGCCCAACGGCGGCTCGCCCGACAACAGCCCCAACGCCCCCCCATCCACAGGCAGCGGCAGCAAGCGCCCCCACTCGGCCATCGCCGCCCCCTCCCCCACAGACAGCGTCTCGCCGTCGATAGGGTGCGGATCGCCGATGGACACTGGGCCGCTGACGCCGCCCGGCGGCCGCAGCTGCTCTGCTGCTGCCATTGGGGGGGCGGAGAGGGGCGAGGGGGCACACAAGAGACTCAAGGGGCAGTGACTGAGTGAGTGACGAAGGTCCGAGTGAGCCAATAATTATCTAGGGGAGAGGGTTCTTTGGTCGTCTACTTGATGCGATTGGTGTGTGTTGGGTGGGTCTCGGTCGTTTCTGGGGCTTCTCAAACCTCCCTTTGACGTCTTCCATCACGTGTGAATTCGACATGTGGTTGGAAGCGTCACTGGCGGGTTGGGTGAAACACCAGAATGACGAGACCTCGCCCAGACAGACAGGCAGGCAGGTGGGCAGCAAGGGGTACGCAGGTCTAATTAAGGCAAGAAGGGATGGATGAAGGATGGATCGCACGCAGTGGTCGATCGCAGGACAGTGTTGCACAGTCAGGGGTCAGTCTCACGTCACTTTTTGCCGCGTGCAGTAAGTGTGAGCGCACTGCCTGTGTGTGTACTGTATCTAGCAGCGGTTTTCCCATCCCGCTAGCTAAGGTTTTCCTCCTGTGTGTGTGTGTGTGTGTGTCGTGCTCGCCGTGGCAGTGTTGGCTTTCTTGGGGTGTCCGAAAGACGCATGCTCATATGCAGGCATGGTGTCTTTTCCGGCACCTTTGAGGGGGCAGACACGGCCAGGCGGACAATTGACACGAACACAAGCAACACAACCGAGAGCAGATCAGATCAGGGCAGAAAGGAGCAGACAGGGAGATGAGCGTGCATGGGTGTGGTGGTGGCGGGCTGGCCCTTCCTGATGTGGTCGGCGTGTGTGTGTGGGGGCCTAGTGCCCGAGCGAGCAGTGAAGATGTGAGCTTGGGTGCTAGGACCCCAAACAGACACATCGACGCATAACAGGTGGGGGGGATCAGGCCAGGCCACAGAAGCACAGGTGTAGTGATGGTGGTGCATATGGGCGCGTGCGGGTCATTCTCGGCAGATGTGTGTGTGGGTGGGCTTGTCTATTCGTCTGTAATTAGTGCATGTGTGTGTGCGCCTCTGTGCATGTGTGTCCTGGGGTGTAATTAGATTGACAGTGTATGAGACAGACAGACGGACAGACAGACAGCTGGACGGCTGCCTACGTGGCTGCACACATCCATGGCTGCCACAGGGACTCGGACATTCGGACATTGGTCGGTCGATCAGTGAAATGACAGATGCACACGCACAGAACAGGGCAGTCACTGACAGACAGACGGTCCACACACCAACACGTCACACGCCCCATTCGCTCATTTCGCGTCAAGCGCCCCCCGCAGCCTCAGGTGGGGGGAAAACCTGTGTGCGAACGTCGCCATTGTTCTCGCCGCCGCCGCTGGCCTTTTCCATGGTACGCATCAGACTCACACCACGCTGCACACACCGAGAGAGAGGGAGAGACCTTGGTATGTCTGCAGGGGGGGGGGGGGGG